CGGCGGCCGCTGCGGTCGATGCTCGCTGGCCTTGGCAGCTGTTGTCCGCTCGAAATTCCTACTGCTATCGGGCAAAGAGCGCGACAAGACGCCGTCGTTCGAATGAGATCATCGATTACGGCGGTATGAAAGGAGTGGTCTTTCCGGGGCGCCGACCACCCAGTTATAAACGCCTGAGTTATGGCGCGGGACCCTTGGCGAGCCGTGATAAGGATCGCCATCAGTGGCTGCGTTTTATTCGATGAGGCAGGTATTGATGGGCACCATCCACATTTCATCCGGCCAGCCGTGATAACCATCGAAGAAGTGGGTGAAGTTCTCTGATTTACGGCCGCTCTGATGAAGCATTCAGGTTCACGCCGTGTTTACAGCTGCTGGACACGTGAAATCACTTTGTTTGTGACCTTGATCGGGAAAATCGAAGCGAGAAAAATACCAAAGAGACCGCCTCAAAGCATCGACGCTTTCTGTGTGGCTCTCCGTCTTTTGAGATGGATGTAACTCGACAAGACGCATCGCAGCTTGGGGCCCGCTTCCGGTTGAGCGCCTTTCACAAAGCGGAAGGACCGCTGGCCGTTTTTGGCAGGGCGCCAGACCCTGCTCGGCGCCAGGCAATGGCAGAGGCCAGTCTGAATTGAGGCGGCGAATTAATGCGTCGCTCGCCTGTGTTATCCTTCACCTGGCTGAGGGAACACTGACGGAGAACACGCCATCTGCCGGAATCGTCTGCAGGCGCGCACCGCCCAGCTGACGCTGCAGCCGGCCAGCACCGCGCCGGAGGCCCACGCGGCACGACATGTCCTGAAGACACGTCTTCACAATCCACCGCCGCGCACCACCGTGGATTAATGCCGAAAACCGCCTCCGGCGACGGTTTGGACACCGTGTGCGCCGCGATGCACTTTCTCCTGGCCCGGTGCGATCGTTTTGATAACGCACCTGCCGTCCTTGCGGCGGCGCGCCCGCACTTTGCGTATTGAGTCAAAGGCTTAGCTGGCAGTCGGACGGGTGTTGCGCCGTGTCAGCGCTGTGACGCCGGCGCCGGTGGAGCCACGCACGGCTTTGGCAACGGCCGGCGTCCGTGCAATGACAGCGCGGAGCCCGTCCTGCATATCTCGCCATCTGGCGGGGCTGCTGCATTCGAGACTCCAAACGCCAGCTCGTTTCTCTGTCGAAGGCTTCATCAGAGCGTGCTTAGCGACAGTCATCTGCCTTCTTGTGATATGGAACACACTTACCTGGCGTTCGGACAGCTTGAGATATCCGGCAGCATTTCAGGCGAAGCAACGCCGTCTTTCACTGACCAGTCGGTATGAAGATGTGACTCTAGCCGGGTTTCCACGGTCTACTCAGCCATCAAAATCAGATAAAGCGATCACTGCAGTGTTTCGCAGCCCGGCATCCTGCTGCCGGCGGTCAATACGTGACACAGTCCGCTGAATAGCCGACCCGCCTGCACCAGATCGTGCGGCTGGCCACTGTACCTCGCACGCAGTCCTCCCCGCCGACATGTCCGCGTGCCTGATGGTTCGGTGCGGGCCCGCCGCGAGCGTGTGCCCCCGCGTGCGGTGACACGTTTGAGCCATCGGCGTGCGTGCTGGACGCGCGCACTGGCGGCCCCCGCACCCTCCGTCGGGCTGCGAGCTGGCCCGACTGGCGAGGAAGGCTCCGGCGCCCGGGGAATGCCGCACGCTGTCGTGGAGGCGAGGACGTCGCACAGACATCATGTACAGACATCAAGGCCGCGCTGGTCCGGAGCTGACGGCGGAAGGAGGGCGCGTAGAAAACCCCCTGTGGCAGCTCATCGTCTCACTGACATCGTCTCGCAAGAGTCAGATCCCTGGTGACGTCAGGACAGACTAGCCGTCCAATATAAACCTATTGGATGGAAAATAGCATCGATAGCAACTTGACCAATTTTGTTGGCAGTACACTTTAGAAGAGCAGCATGGGGAGAAAATGATCCTGAATGCAAGACAAGTATGGCACATTCAAAGGATGTATAAAGCGAAAAGCATGCGCAGACGTTAGCGTGGAACAGCAGCGCACTAACCTGGAGTAGCAGGTCTTCCCAGCCAGCCTGTTCGCGTTGAGGCCGCTCTGCCGCCCCGTGTGCGCTTCGGCCGGCGTTTTACGGCGCCGTCGCCAGCTTTTTCAGCCGGCCGGAAGCGGGAGATTGCCGCCGTCCTCGGCGTGGGCCGGATATTGGTACGCCCGGCTCAGGCCTGGCCATCGGTGCCAAACACTGGCGGCGGCCAAAGGAGGAGGAGCAGGAGGAGGAGGACGAGGAGAGGATAAGGACGAGGAGGACGAGGACGAGGTAGAGGAGGAGGAGACCGAGAACGAGAACGAGAACGAGAACGAGAACGAGAACGAGAACGAGGAGGAGAACGAGGAGGAGGAGGAGGAGGAGGAGGAGGAGGAGAAGGAGGAGCTGAGCCGATCGGATCGGGCAGCGAGCCGGGTGGCCTCTGGCGGTTTGGGCGACGTCAGTGACTGCTGGAAGCCGGTGTTTGTGCAGGGTGTCACTGCCTTCGCCTAAATCAGGAGTCTTTGTACATCGTGTATGGTGCATCGTGCGGCTTTGTTCGCAATGTGTGTTTGAAAGCTGCCAGGATGAAACACATCACAAAATATACATCGGCATTGCAGTCGCCACACCAAAGGCTCGCGAATCGGGACCGTTTTCGCGGCTTGCTGTTGCCCTGGGGCGACCTGTGGCATCATGATCAGTCCAAACACGGCTGGCGGGCGGAGAGGCCCGTTAGCGCGGCTCCCTGCCGGAGGCGTGCTCTTCTCACAGCAGGGCTTGTTGCCGAGCTCCGCTTCGAACAACACACAGAGCCAGGAGCGGCGTCTCCCGCCGAGCTCATGTCTGCCTCGCGTCTCGGCAAGGTTACGGAACCCGGCAGCCGACCGCGATGTTTCTATCGCGAGGTTCTCACCGCCCATCGGGCGACACCTCACCTCACTCGATCTCAGTGCGGCATAGCGGCTGACACCGTCCTCGTGCCTGGAGGGCGTCCGGGCAGGCCGGCGTCCCCGGGGTCGAGTCCGTCCCCGCTCCAGCCGGCCCGGGTGTCGCCCCCGGCGGCGCGCTGTTTGCCCGGTCGGAGATAGCGTGTTTGGCGGCGGCGGCCCAGGGGCAGGTGGGGCGGGCACGTGACGAGTGGAAGTGTCGCCCTCGCGCCACGGGCGTCGCGGGCCGCGCCGACCGCTGTTTGCCAAAGATAGCGGCGATCGGCCGTGCAGCTGTCCCCCGTCGCCGGCGCTGCAGGATGCAGCGGCTCTTGGCGGCGCCGCGCAGCTCACCGTGTTTGTATACGGCAGGTTTGATGGGACGAACGGGTGATGCTGTGAAAGCTGTGAACGGTCGGGATGTCGCTCCCTGTTTTTGTTGTCGTTGATGCCACTTCGATTCGTGGGCCTGCGTCGCACGAATTTCTTAGCGATTTTGGCCGGGCGCCAATCCGAGGGCGTGCAGTACCATTTTCTGCTCGAAATCAAAGTGTCCCTTCTGCCCTGGTCTGAAGGCCATGTCGTGCCATGCGAGCTTCCTCAGGGCCTCCAGCCCATTAGCCTGTTCCGCCTCCGCTATTATGAACCAAATGCTCGGGCACTTTCACCTTTTGTTACGGCTTCCGATCAACCTAAAAGGACCTGTCAGGAGGTAGAGCACCCTTCTCCATCTGAGCCGGCCATTTGAGCCCAACGGCTGGCATTCCCACCGCTCTACATCGCAGTCCAGCCGGCCTGGCACCCGACACCCGCTGCCGAGACGGCCCGGCACCCGACACCCGCTGTTGAGGCAGCCCGGCACCCAACACCCGCTGTCGGGGCGGCCGGTGGCCCAGCACCCGACACCCGCTGTCGACGCGGCCCAGCACCCAATACCGACACCCGCTCCCGGGGCGTGGCGGCCTGGCACCCGATACCTGCTGCCGGTGTGGCCCAGCACTTGACACCCGCTGTCGGGGTGGCCCGGCACCCGACATCCGCTGTCAGGACGGCCGGTGACCCAGCACCCGACATCCGCTGTCAGGACAGCCGGTGACACAGCACCCGACACCCGCTGTCGGGACAGCCGGTGACCCAGCACCCGACATCCGCTGTCAGGACGGCCGGTGACACAACACCCGACACCCGCTGTCGGGGCGGCCCGTTTACGTTTGATAAGCGGCTTCCACAGCGGCAGTACGCGTTTCAAGTAGCCTCAATTAGTCCTGGTGGCGCCCATATCTCTAACAAACAGAGCTGCGATTGCTTCTGCACGCCGCAGATTTCCTATCAATCCCGGGTAAACTATGCAAAAACTCGACGGCGGCGCCGTTTCGGGAGAGGAGGGGAGGGCCTGACCGACAGCAGGCCCCCTCGTCCCGTGTTGGTCCCGATCTGCCTCACGTGGGGATACGTGAACAACGAGGGTGGCAGCATAAACGTCTGAAGAACTTCTGTCATGTGTTGGATGAGGGAGGACTCGTTTTGTGTGTGTGTGTGTGTGTGTGTGTGTGTGTGTGTGTGTGTGTGTGTGTGTGTGTGTGTGTGTGTGTGTGTGTGTGTGTGTGTGTGTGTGTGTGTGTGTGTGTGTATGTGTGCGTGTGTGTGTGTGTGTGTGTGTGTGTGCGTGGAGAACATGACTTTTTCCCTGTTTGTGGAGATTGCCGGTGCGTGACTGGGTGCAAGCAGTGGGGCGGCTTTTTCATTTGACTGTTATTGCACCGACATGGTTCTTTATGGCACGAGTTTCGGTGGTTGACTCCCAACGAAGCAGAACGAGATCGACACTGAGGGATTCTGCACGAATGTTTGTTAAGCTAATTTACTGCTGGACAGTGATGTGTGCTAATAAGGACGTGATGGTAACGCTGGCGGGGCAAGTGTCCATTACAACACCGCATGTGTCACGTTTGTCAGCGCGCGCACCTGGCACCGCCAAAATCACCACCCGACCTGCCCGCCGCCGACGACAGACCGTCTCACGCCCGTGCCTCCGCCCGCAGGTCAGAGCCGTTCCCCACGCATCACGGAGCACCCTTCCGACACGATCGTGCCGCGCAACGACCCGGTCACCCTCAACTGCAAGGCGCAGGGTCGGCCGCAGCCCGACATCTCGTGGTACAAGGATGGCCGCGAACTGAAGCCCGGCTCGGCGCACCGGGTCACGCTGCCCGAGGGTGCGCTCTTCTTCCTCACCGTGCAGCAGAACAAGAAGGAGAACGACGCGGGCGTCTACTGGTGCGTGGCGCGGAACGAGGTTGGCCGCGCCCGCAGCCACAACGCGACGCTTAAAGTGGCAGGTACGTTGCGGTGGTGCGCGCCGTCCTGACACTGTGGCGCCAGGGGGTTATTTGAGCCGGCCATGGACGGCCAGACTCCGTGATTTTGGTTTGGGGCCATCCGCCTCCCCCCCCCCCCCACCGTTCCAGTGCACCGCCATGACCGCTCGCATTCCGTAGATAAGTTCACGTAGCAGTTTTTGTACAAAGTCACTGTTTGTGCTGAAGGGCTCATTGCTGCCCCGCAATAGAGGTGGGCGGGTGTCCACCTCCCCCGGCCGGGCGGCCGCGGTTGGCAGCGTCCGCCTCCGGTCCAACAGAGCCATGTTTGCCGTGTCAACACGGCGCGACGGTCCGGGCTCGTGCCGGCAGCTGTCCGCTGGCCGCTGCCGCGCTATGAGGGAGAGACGGAGTGCGCGGGCCGCTCCTCCCGGCTATATTGGGGCGATCTCCGCGCTGTCCGGCCGGAGCGGCTCGGTGGGAGGGCTCGGCCAACGCCGGCTATATCGGGACAACGCCGGACGTCGTTAGGTCGCGGCCAGGTCGCAGCGAGCGCCGCAGTCGCCGCTTCAAAGCCCGTGCACTTCTGAGATGCAGACCACTCGGTCGCCGCGTGGTTTTGCGCCGCTGAAGTCGCGCGGCGGTAAGTCCGCCGACGAGACCCCCACGGTGGGAACGGCGAGACAATGGCGGCGCCGCTCGTGCGGCCGTCGCCACTTCCGGCGCGGCCGTGGTCGCCGGCCGAGTCACGTGACCGGCGGGAGTCACGCGTCACGCGCCGGGCCGAGATCAAAGCGCGCCGCCGCATCTGCCGGCGACCGATCGCGTTTCACCGACGGACGGCGTCCGCCAATGAGCGACGACCATCGGCCAAGCCGTTCATCAATTGGTCGAGCAAAAAGGCCGGCAGCGCTCAATGTGCTCCGCGGACTTCGTTCTCATTCTTGTCTGGCGGCGTTTTTGCACTTATCGGGTCGGTCGCGTCACCCTGAGCGATGACAAGCCCCAATCGCCGATCGCATCCGACATCCTTCACCAGGCCATCATTAATAATTGTTAATGAACGCTAAACTCGTTGCGCGTTTACTGAGACCGAGAGGCGGAAGCGTTTTTGCCGTGCGCGGCTGACAGCTGGCGTCGAACGGACGTGTCCGGGCGAGCTGATGTCGACGCCAGCACACGCGCGGGCTGGCTGCGGACGGGGCTCCGTCAAGTTCCGCGACTCGGACTAAATTCGTCGCCGGCCGCGTACGTGCTTCGCGTCGCGTTACCACACATCAAATGTCTCACCTGCAAGCGTACCTCAACAAGAAAGCAGCCCCGCGGGGCCGACTTCCCATCCGAAGTCATCCAGCGAACTTAAAAGTTTCGCAGTTCACGGCGTTACAACGCCCGCCGGAGCGTGCCGAGTCCGCTCCGCCGAATCTACATCACGTGCGCCATCCCGTTACACCCGAACTACGTCGTCACAGCGCGCCGTCCCATCAGCGGACGGGTCCGGTGGGATCGGGCGGCCTCCGCCGCCGACCAGCGCTCGGGCCTCGCCCGGGGCGCGTCGCCCAGCGCAGAAACGTGAGCTCGCCGCCGCGCACCATTTGCCGCGGACGGCGGCCACATGGGCGCCTTTTTGCGGCCGCGCGCACCCGTCATAAATCCGACAGACTGTCCTCGCCGCATTAGGGCGCTACGCCCGGCCGACGCGCTCCCGTCGAGGCCGACGTGGCGCACGGCTGGCGCCGTCGGCGGCGACGATATGGGCCGTGACTGGCGCGGGGCCGGCCGCATTCCACCAGCCCGCCGGCGGCGCGGCGCCGCGGCGGGGTCGCCGCGGCAGGACCGCTGCGTCAGGACTGACGCGGGAGCACTGCCGCGGCGGGGCGGCCACGCCGGGACTACCGCAACGGTACGGCCGCGCTAGGAATGCCGTGCCTGCACGGCGGCGTCGCCGAACGGGCCACAGGACAGAGCGGAGAAGGCAAAGAAAGCGTTGGGAGCAAGAGCTTAGTAGTCGCATGCCGCCCAATTTGGAAAAAAAGTTACAAACAACTGTAAAAATGACCAAATTATGATAGAATGCGGTCAACATTCCAACCATGTCCCCTTATCTGCGTAACGTTGTCGCGGCGGCGGGAGCCGCCACCGTGCATGACGAGCAGACGCATCGCGTGGGCGAGCCAGGCAATCTCAGCCTCACCCTCTCGCGTCGCGCGCAAACACGGCTATCGGCCTATCGCGTCGGCATAGCGCGTTGGCGCTCCGCGCCGCCCAGACTGTTGACCGTCGCGTGTCCTGACCGCCCAGCTCGCTAACGTCCGGTGGCCGCGAGGGTGTGCACTGCCTGCGACGGCGGGCCGGGGCGCACTCCGGCCGTGATATCACCCGACCGGGGTGGCGACAGCGGCGGCGGCGGCGACGGCGCGTCGCGGCGGGCTGGGCGGACGGCGCGCGGCGCGAGGCGGAGCCGACGACGACGCCCGCATCGCCGTCCCATTACGATCGGAGGGGTCTTTAACCAAATTAATGCCGCTCTCGGCCATTAGATGCGGTGAATCATCGGCGTGCGGGAGGGCGATCGTCTGGCTCTCGCGTGCCCGCGCGCTCCCCTTTGTATTCGGAGGGCGGTGGTGTTTCACTGGATTGGCTTTTCGCGTATCTCCGCGGCGAGGATGCCGTCTGGCATTCTTGCCTGATTGGTCGGTCGTAAAGGAAGGTGTCGGCAGGGCGCGGGGGGCGGTGGGCGGTGCCGGCGAGATAGACGGCGGCACTCTGGGCGAGACCTCGTGTTGGAGGTCGGTTTGATCGGAGATGTCCAATGAATTCAGTCTGAACGGCCGCGAGATAACAGACCCAGTCATGCCATCTTAGGAGACGGCCGGCTCTCGGAATATCCCAGAACTTGTCAGATTAAGTACCGACTCGGTCTGATGCCATCTCGTCAAACGAGCACCATGTCTCGGGGCCTTGTGTCACAATGTGAGCGGCTATTGCAGAAGCAGGCGACGGCTCGTCCGGGTTTCGCGGAACGGGAGCTCCCAGCTCCGACCCCCCCCCTCTCCCCTTTCTCCCCCACCTCTTATTCGTCCCTCCCCACCCTCCGCCCCCCCCCCCCCCTCCCTCTCCGCTGCACCCCTAGTCGCCCTCCCGGGCGGCCAGCTCAGAAAATTAGGTGACGCCCACCCGTGATATATGATGATTGGGCGGCGCTCATCATTGATTGATCCCGATCAATGCCGCGGCAGTCAGACGCTGACACCGCTACATCCGCGCCACCATCGCCGCCGCCCGCCGTCCGCGGCGTGAAGAGCGCCATCTTCGCCTCGGCGCGGCCTGTGGTTTCACAGTGGAACCGTGGTCTCTCAGCCGCCCGAAAACGGTCACCGGCAAGGCGGGAAATGCCTGAAAATCTGCCGTAAGCCGGCCCAACCCGGCCGAAGCCCGGTAATTGCGATAAACGATGCAACGGCGGAGGCGGCGCTGCGTCGCCGGCCGGGGAAGATGATAATTATGGTGATTTATGGGATTAGCGGCCTGGTCGGCGCGGCTCGGCTTCGTCGCACCGCTCTTGGGAGGGCTTAAGCAAAAGTTCGCCGCAGATTTGAACGGGCGAGACTTGTGTCAGTGACGTTCCCAGAACCTGGGATCAAGACTAGCTGCGGCGCGGGGAGTTTAGAAAAGTCGTCTGGCTGAGATCCAAAGTCGTCCCCCGTATCGCGGGCAGCAGCTGCAGTTCTGAATGAGGCACGCGCACGGGCGTGTGCCATCGTGGTCCGGTGTGGACCGTTCTCAATACACCCAGATGGCGTGGACTGCTGCATCGTGTTCTAGCGTCGTCAAGTTGAAATTGTAAGGTCATTCGGATTGTATGGTTGCAGACTGTTGTCGACTTGGGCTGCTAAGGTGCAAGGAATGTAAAACCATCTTGTCTATTTGTTGTGCGACGCACGTGTGCTTTGATAGCAGACACCTCGCGGGAAGTGCTCAAGAACTTGATCAGGTGTTGCTTATAAGTGTGGTCATTGCACACGTTTGCAAGCTTGGTTCGTTTCAAATGCAAGACAGTTAAGTCAGCTTCTTAAGCATGTGATCTGCCGGCTGAAATATTTTGTGTGATGTCTTTAATGCACTTTGGAAGGCTTCTTTGTCTGAGCTGGTTGACATACGTCTTATGCAGTAATGGCTCTGGCTAGTATACAACCCAGATATCATTGCCGCGATTTATGAGACAAGTTGGGCCCGAAATTGCAAACTCCAACCCATGTCGTGATTTCAGAATTGTATGGGGACCCAGCCCGGTCGGGAATCTGGCCCATCCGGTCTGGAATCTGCCAAATCTCTAACACGTGCAACACCCTTGTCTAAAAAAGCCCACCTCGAGCTGCTCCTACCGGCTTACCTCTGCACGATCCCGTCCCACCTGTCCAGACATGGCTGCTAAGCCTCCGCGAAATTCCACCGAGGCGTCAACCCCTCCCCGGCCACGTGGCGACGGTGCCCTCCTCCGTCAGCCGGCGTTGACCTGCTGCCCGAGGGCGTTCGCAGGTCACCCACCCGCCGTCGGAGCCGACGCGGCTTGCCGCGAGCCGTCGGCCGTAAGACGCCGGGATTTGGCCGGCGCCGGCGCCATGGCTCACACGCGGTCACGCCGGAAACAAAGGGCCGCCGGCTCGGCCCAGGGCCCTTTGCTCCGGGACACGCCGGGGCTCCGGGACACGCCGGGGCTCCGGGACACGCCGGGGCTCCGGGACACGCCGGGGCTCCGGGACAGGTGGTGTCCGAAATGGCATGCGTGCGGAAGATGGAAGGGAGTGCGTTTGTTGCACCATGCGTCCGCTTAGCGAGGTGACCGCAGTATGACCGGCGAGGAATTTCTCACGGCGCCCTGATTCAGCGCGCGCCGTGAGGTTCTCGGCTTGCAACATTCTCGGTCGTGGTTCTCGTCCGCGATGCTTACCACTGTTGACGCAGCAGGCTCATCTGTAGACTGCTGAGTGCGGTAGCCGCGAGAAAGGCGGTAGCACGAG